CGAGACTGCGGTTTGTGTCGACGGGGACACGTACGCGCCTCTCGCCACCTTTACCGCTGAGCCGGGCTCTGGTCTCTACACACTTCACACTGGCCCCCGAGGGCAGCAGCAGCAGCAGCAGGAGCAGTAGCGGCAGCAGCAGCAGCAGCAGCAACTACTGCCCCCGACCCCTGTCACTGCCCCCCGTTAGGTTCCCGCGTCTCACCAGGTTGTCGCGTCTCCCCAGGTAGCTGTGTCTGGTCAGGTTCCGGTGTCTGGTCCAGTTGCTGCGTCGTGCTCCTGCCGGTCACTTGCCCACCCCACTGTTTTGTGGCACCACCGGATGGGGCACCCGTCCATTTCTCGCCTGCGCGCTATGTCTAGTCAGCGTCTTGTCTTAGGCCTCCCGCGAGTCTTGCCGTCGCTGCCGCCTTCGCTTGCACCACCTTGCGGTCCCTGCGTCGAGGGTCGGCTGCGCGCCACCCCTCACTCCTCCTCCCTTCGTCCGGCCACCGAGCCCTTCGAGACTCTCCACTTGGACGTCTGGGGCCCCGCCTCGCGCCCTGGCCCTGAGCGAGAGAGTTTCTTTCTCGTGGTCGTTGACGACTACTCCCGCTACACCAAAGTGTTCCCCCTGGCGAAGAAGTCCGACGTGACTTCTACGCTGATCCGGTGGTTACTTCTCGCTGGATTCTGTCGCGAGCAGGGCATCCGTCAGTCCTGGACGCTTCCAGAGTCCCCACAGCAGAATGGGGTTGCTGAGCGCCGCATAGGCTTGGTCATGGAGATCGCCCGCACCTCCATGACTCACGCCCGTGCCCCCCATTTTCTGTGGCCTTACGCGGTTCGGTACGCTGCTCACCAGCTGAACCTCTGGCCACGTGTCTCTCGGCCAGAGGTTTCACCGACCAGTCTTTGGACCGGGTCCCCTGGTGCTGCGTCGCGTTTTCGTGTCTGTGGTTGCTTGACACTTGTTCGCGACACCTCCGCGGACAAGATCTCGCCTCGCGCTGTTCCCTGCGTTTTCCTTGGTTTCCCTGCTGACTCCTCTGACTACACCTTTTACCACCCTCCCCTTCACCGGTTCTTTGACTCTCGTGACGTCCGTTTCGACGAGTCCGTCCCCTACTACGTCAGGTACCCCTGTCGAGGTCTCCCGGTTCCTCCTCCCCCTCTCTTCCTGACTTCAGCTCCCCCTCCTGCTCCCCAGGTACAGCCTCCCCACCCTGGTCCCGCCCCGTCAGGTGTGTCCCACGCTATCCCTCCCCCCTCGGTAGCCCCTCAGGTGCAGCCTCCTTCCCCGCAGTCCTCCTCACAGCCTACAGCAGACCCTGCGGGAGCCGGTTTTCGTGGCGAGGACCCTGGAGGTGCTAGCTCTAGAGGTGCTGGAGTTGGAGCAGAGAGCGTACCTATGCGAGGTCCTGGTTCTGGGGGTGCTGGAGTTGGAGCTGAGCCCGTGACTGCAGGAGACTCTAGTCTTCGGGGAGCTGGTGTTAGTGGAGCTGTCCCTGGGGGTGCTACGACTGGGGGTGCACCCTCTGCTGGACCTGGAGAGCCTGGGACGGACCCTGTTACTTCTGGTGGTGCTGGCTCTGGGGGTGGTGCGACTGGTTCTTTGGAGAGCGTTCCTGGGGCTACCACCGCTCCGGACACTACTCCTCCCCCCCACCCCTACCCGACCTGGCACCAGGCCTGTGTACGCCGTGCCCGTGAGGAGCAGCTGGAGGTGGAGCGAGAGGAGAGAGAGTTGGAGCGGCAGCAGCTGGAGCTACAGCGGTTGGAGGAGCAGCAGCAGCAGCAGCCGCAGCAGCAGCAGCAGCAGCAGCAGCAGCAGCAGCAGCAGCCGCAGCAGCAGCAGTCGCAGCAGCAGGAGCAGCCGCAGCCGCCGCAGCTGGAGGAGCAGCGGTCGCAGCCGCAGCAGGAGCAGCAGCAGCAGCCACCTCCTCCTCCTGTCTCTGGACTTCGGACCCTTGGTCTCCCCTCTCCCTCTCCTCCCTCCTCCCCCTCTCCTCCCGTCTCTGGTCCTCCGCTTCCTCCTCCTGACCCCTCCCCAGCTGTTTTCCCTCCTCCTCTGCCCCCGTTGTCCTCTCCTCTTTCTCACACTTGGTCTTCGCGTCGCTCTCCTCGTGCTCGTCACTCGTCTCCTGTTCCCTTCACTGACCTTCGTACTGCCCTGTTTCGTTCTAGTCCGCCTCGTTCGTCTCCTTCTGTACTTTCTTCTCCTCCTGAGTCGGCTCTCACTACTTCCCTCTCTACTCCTGTCACAGACTACTACCGCACGTACCGTCCTGTTCTCTCTCGTGTTCTCGCCTCTCTTGTTACCGACCCACGTGCTTCTCTGTCCTCTGTCTCCGCTCTTACTGCCGCAGTCACTGAGTTTGCCTCTACTCGCCGCCTTGACTACGCCACCAGTCTTGTGGCTGCTCCTCCTACCAGTCCTCTGGCCGTTGGGGGTGAGTCTGCCCTTGGCTGTGATGCCATAGAGGACAGGCAGTTTGAGCTAGAGTTCCTGGCAGCCGCTTCCCCTCATCTCTGTGCCATGCTGCTCGCCCCTGAGGGAGACCCCGACGCCCTTGACATACCGACTCCTCGCACTTACGCTGAGGCAGTGTCAGGGCCTTGGGCCTCTCAGTGGAGAGCTGCCATGGACTCATAGATGGCCTCCTACGGATCCACAGGCACTTACATCGACGAGGTTTCCCCCCCTGGGGCGAACGTAGTCAATGGCATGTGGGACTTCAGGGTGAAGCGGCCACCGGGATCTCCTCCGGTCTTCAAGGCGCGCTATGTGGCTAGAGGTTTCAGTCAGTGCGAGGGAGTTGACTTCTTTCAGACCTTCGCGCCTACCCCGAAGATGACCACTCTTCGAATGTTACTGCACGTAGCAGCACAGAGTGACTACGAGTTACACTCTCTCGACTTCTCTACTGCTTTCCTTCAGGGTAGCCTACACGAGGAGGTCTGGCTGCGTCGTCCCTCTGCCTTCACTGGCACCTTCCCTCCTGGGACCCAGTGGAGGTTGAGGCGACCGGTCTACGGTCTCCGTCAGGCTCCTCGTGAGTGGCACGACACCCTTCGTTCTACCCTGTCTGACCTCGGTTTCCAGCCGTCTTCTGCCGACCCGTCACTGTTTGTTCGGCGTGGCTCCACACCGTTCTTTGTACTGGTCTACGTCGACGGCCTGGTTTTTGCCACTGCTGACAGGGTTGCTTTGGCTGACGTGAAGCGCGAACTGCAGAAGAGACACACGTGCACTGACCTTGGTGAGCTCCGCCACTACCTTGGCCTGCAGATCACCAAGGACAGAGCCTCTCGCACCATTACACTCTCACAGTCACACATGGTGCAGAAGGTCCTTCAGCGGTTCGAGCTTCAGCACTCCACAGTACACCGCACACCTCTTGCTGTTGACCACAGACTCACTGGACCCTTCCCTGACGAGCCGTTTGAGCCTAGTGGTCCTTACGCAGAGCTTGTGGGCTGCCTCATGTACCTGATGACTTGTACTCGCCCGGACCTCGCCTTCCCTCTCAGCATCCTTGCTCGCTTTGTTGCGCCAGGGAGACACCGTCCAGTTCACTGGACAGCTGCTGTGAGGGTGGCGAAGTACCTAGCGACGACATCAGGCGTGGGGCTGGTTCTTGGAGGGCAGCAGTCTATTGTACTTACTGGACACTGTGACTCTTCTTACGCTGACGGCGCCGAGACTCACAGGTCTACTCAGGGGTACTGCTTCAGCCTGGGCTCTGGAGCTGTTTCGTGGAGGTCCACGCGTTCCTCCTCGGTCTCGACCTCTACTGCTGAGGCCGAGATCTACGCTGGAGCCATGGCTGCACAGGAGCTGCGTTGGTTGACCTTCTTGCTCACCGACCTTGGTGAGCGGCCGAGCTCTGCACCGACCTTGTTCACTGACAACAAGGCGTCGATTCTCCTCTGTCGAGAGCCGCGACTGGAGAGCAGAGTGAAGCACATCAACGTCAGGTACTTTCTTCTGCAAGAGTTGCAGAGGCGTGGACGGGCTCGCATCGACTTTGGGCCAACACTGCAGACATCTTCACCAAGGCGCTTCCGCCTTGTGACCACCAGAGGTGTTGTGTGCAGTTAGGTCTCGTTGACACAGGTTCTCGCCTTGCGTAGTCTTGAGTTCTCTGCTTGCTTTGTTTGTACGCTTTATATATACCTCTGTGAACTCTTGAACTGGCCTTGTGGCTCTTTTGCTTGTGCTCGGAGTGTGTGGTGACGTTGTGATCCACCCTGAGCTTTGTTTCTTTGTGTCTGGTCTTGTGACCGTACACTTTTGGTTTTGCTTGACACCCCTCACTTAGACTATGGGGGTGTGTCAAATGTTGTAGTCTTAGTGATGTGTGTTATAGGGGGTACAACTATTAGGGTTGGGTTTATGTACCCCAACCAACCTTAGTCAAACCAACACTTTCATTTTTGACAATATCTTGATGAACCTGTAAGATGTTACACAACTATCGGCCTAGCTGCAACTGCATTGCTCTGGTTAATATCTGTTAGAAGGGCAAGGCGGATGCTTGATAAGGTCTTGTTGTGTTGCATCTGGAGAATGTATTGCAGCACATACCCCTGGTTCTACTCTCAATTCACCCAACGTAGGTGTTCGATATTAGGAGCCTATGTCCAAAAAGGTATTTTTTTTCCAACAGCTAGGGCAGAGCTTTGTGATCAAACAGATTTTACGCTTCTTGTGGCAAAAACAATTGAAGGCAACATTGATTCTGGCATCAGTAGCCCCATGGCCACCTTCACGATTCACCGGAACAGGAGCCACCGCCACAGCGACGGGGTAGATCTGTCCTGCGCTAATTTGCTTCATAGAAATTGTCATGTTTAGCCTAACAATTTACAGAGCGTACCAGCATGGCTAGATTCAGCCAACCTACAATACAGAGCACACAATTTGTGTGCACAAATCAGCCCACCTAAAGAGCCCACTGAATCAGCCCACCAAATCACAGCCCACCAAATCACAGCCCACCAACTTGTATGAGCATTTAGTTGAGGGGCTCCATGGGGAACTCCTCGACGGGGCTCAGCTGCTTGGCGCGGTGGTACTCGGTTTGCGCGCAGTCCACGGACAGCACGGAGCTCGACTCGTACAGCCGGGGAGTGCCGTCAAGGAACCCAGCGCCCTCCTGGCTGTCGGCCGAGATCGGACGGTGCAGGTTCGCGATCAGGCGCTGGAAGTCGGCGGCGCGCGCCGCGTGGTCGGGGCGGTAGGTTTGACCGAGCACGCCTTGCACATCGTCGGTGTGCTCCAGCTCGACAATCCCCACGTTGATGTGCGCCTCGGTGTCGTTGGGCGTCTGAAGCTTGGGGTTGGCGACGCGCAGACGCAGGTCGAGCGCCACGAGCCCGTCGATGGTGAGCGTGTAGTAGTCCACGTCATACGGGCCCTCCTTCTCCAGAGCCGCGAACCGCACAGTCAGACCGCCCTCGGTAGTCACCTCGTCGCCCACGCTCATCCTCGGGATCTCCTCGCCGTCGATCTCGATCGTCTTCATGAAGCCATCACCGCGCTCCTGCTGCTTGCCAGCGCGCGCCGCGAGCCGCACCTTGTGGTCGGCGCCGTTGGCGAACCACACGATGCCGAGCTCCTTGATCCACGTGTGCACGGCCTTGCCGTCAACAACGAGCGCCGCGTTCTCCGTGTCGTCCGAGTAGTACCCGCGCAGCAGCATGTTCACGTGCAGGTCCTTGTCGGTCAGCAGGCAGAACGCCTTGTCGGGGCGCCCGTTGAAGTCGAAGTGCGTGCCGTACGCGCCCACCAGATGCGGGTCGTTCACCACGTTCGCCGCGGGGTTGCACTCGCCGCCCGTGCGCACCTGCAGCGCTATGGGCTTCGAGTCCGTCGCGTACTGCGCCGTCAGCTCGCCGCACGAGTAGTCGATGTTGTCGTGCACCAGGTAGCACGCGCCGTCCGTCTTCTTGCCGTCGATGGTAATATCGGGGATGTACTGCCAGTACGTGCAGCTGCTGTACCCCGCGCACGTGTTGCAGCACGTCTGCGGGGACGCCTTCTTCAGCGTCAGCGGGTTGCCCTTCACGTACACCTCCACGCCCAGCTTGTTCTTGAGCAGGTTCGATGTCTTCCACTTGGCGGGGATGCCGCCCTTGCTGCAGTTGGCGGGCGTGCACGCGCCGTCCCCGGGTTTGCCCAGGTCCTTATGGCACTTCATTTCGTTCCATCCGGCCGCTTTCACGTCAACCATCAGCATGCTGTCCGTGCTCGGGCTCACGATCGTCGTTCCCTCGAACTTGTCCAGGTTGCCCGCAGCCGCCGCCTTCTCTATGCCAGAAGGCACCTCCGACGCCACGCCATTGTCGCCCTTGGCCTTGTCCAGGTTGACGGCGGGGTTGTTGGGTCCGGTCACGACGGTTTGTCCTGCGGACGCCACCGCCAGCAGCACGGCGAACGTTGCGAGGAAGAGTAGACGTGCCATGGTTTGGTGCCGTTATACGTGTGAAGAATCTGTATTAGAATGCCTATCTGAAACCAAGTGAATTTGTGGGTATATATAGCTCCAAATCCTCTTGGACCAAGTTGGAAATCGCTGACTATCCTGGTTCTTCCAGATTGTTTGCCTTCGCTGTTTGTACTGCCACCACCAAAACCTATCTTCTCCCCCAAACCCGCTAGACTTGGCTGGTTCCTTTCAGGTCTCAGTCTTTTGTTGCGAGGCGCGACCACATGGGTTCAACGAATTGTGACCGCAGGTAGATACTCAGGAGAGGTTTCTTCTATTCTAAGCATTTCAAGTATGACCTGGATGAAGCTGCTGCGACCGTTTCACGGGTTGTTGACTGTACCAGATGAAGAATCAGGATACTGTATCTTCCATGTCGGGTATCCTTCGATCCGCAGGTTTCAGGTCTGCATGAAGGATTCCGCCGCCCCTTCCGTTTCGCCCTTCTCTCCGACCCCCTTGCTAGCGCTAAGAGAAGCCGTGATACAAGTACCGAATATATTGAAATTTATGGAAATCATTACCTTATGCAATGCGTTTCTTCTCACATCAGCTCCAATTATCCAATACCCATCTCCGAAAGAAATTCAAAATCTTTGCCAACATCCGGAATCCTATTTTGTGTCTGAACTGAACTTGTCAGCAAGCCAGCAAAGGACTGGTGCAGGAGAATGAGGGGCTAGTGCAGTGCAGGGAAACAGAGGCGATGTGCTACCGCTCGAGGGATACAGAAGTGATCGAATGCAGAACAAACATTAACAAACAAAAAAACGGTAACGAGAACAATTGTAGCACTATTGCACCAGACGTTGGGGTGCTGTCGCCTAGGTTTGAAAATGACCTAAGCTAAGGGCTGGGCCGCGGGCTATCAGCCGAGGCGTGTGTCTCGGGCACCCTTCACTTCTCACTGTGGTAACGACCATAGCAGCTGTAACAACCATCATACCACGCATCACTTGTAATCGTAACAACTGTAGCAGCTGCAACAACCATGTCATTGTCTTTAGATACTTGGAAAAGCAGAAGGAAGGTAAAATGGTTGTTGCAGCTGCTATGGGTGTGCACCCTTCGACATACCGCCTCCCCCAACTAACCGCGCGCTTGCAATGCCATGTATCTGCTAGTTCAGCAGAAAAAGTGGCAGAGAGAGCAGCAAAGATAGCAGCAGGGTGAGGAGTAGAGAGAGCAGCAGAGAGAGCAGCAGAGAGAGCATCAGAGAGAGCAGCAGAGAGAGGATCAGAGGGCAAGTGGCAGAAGGAGCAGCAGAGCGAGCAGCAGAGCGAGCAGCAGGAGAGCAGCAGAGGGCTTCAGTCCTCAAGACACAACCCTGACTCTCTCATAATGTTGGCTCTCCACTTTCCGAACCTCCTCCGCAGCCTCGGCCCGAGCCTTGTCCCGGTCGTGAGGGTACGTCCAGTAGAGCCCCCCGTAGAGGACACAGCAGAGGGCAAAGGGCAGAGCCATGGTCCAGAAGAGCCCGAGAGAGAGCGCCCTGGCATTCCCCGGATCAGCCGCAGATGGAGCGGGCGGCGCAATAGGAGGAGGAGTGGCAGGGAATGCAGCAGGGGGAGCGGCAGAAGGAGACGCAGCAGGAGCGGCGGCGGGTGGGGCGGGCGGCGGGGAGGGGCGGAAGCCGAAGCAGGCCTGGGCGAGGAAGCCGACAGTGGGCGGGGCGAAGGCTGCCACTGACATCTCACATGCGCGGTCGAGAGCGTAGATGTCGGTGCGCAGGCGCGCTGGCACTATGGCCGCGAATATGGGGCTGCGGGGGTGAGGAGGGGAAGAAAATGAGGGGTTGGGGGGGAGGGAAGCGTGGGGGGAGGGGAAGGAGGGGCGGAGTTTGACATGTGCGGTCGAGTGCGTAGATGTCTGTTTGCAGGTGTGATGGCACTATGGCCGCGAATATGGGGCTGCGGGGGTGAGGGGGGGGAGGTGGAGGAGGAGGGAAGAGGGATGCATGAAGGAGGGGATGGGGTAATGGGGAACAAGAGGTTTGGAAGTATGGCTGCTGGTATGGGGCTGTGGAGAGAAGCAGGAGGGAGGGTGGAGTGCATGGGGAAGGAGAGGTTTGGCACTATGGCTGCAAAGAAGAACACATGATAACCCTTCACATGCGCAAGTGATAACCCTTCACATGCACACGTGACAACCCTTCACATGCACACATGATAACCCCTCACATGCACTCACTTGTTTGATGCTGCATCGTTCCACGATATCATAAACCCCATCACCACCAGCACTGCAAAATACACCCAGAAAAACCGGGCATCCTGCGGAACCACCCTCAGCAGCACCGTCGACATCACCACCGCCGATCCGGCACTGATCTGAGCGCAGATCACACGGCCAGAATCGCGCCACGTGGCGTTCATCCAATCACCGAACCAGCCCGCAAAAAGCCCCCCAAAACTGCAACTAGCAGTGAAGGAAGAGAGGAGGAGGGCGGTGGAAGGATGGGAGAACCCCACTAGCTCGAGCCACATGGGAAGGAAGGTTAGAGAGGCCCAAGCAAAGGAGCCTACTATGCCTTGAGAGACTATGATAAGGAAGGAGGGCGTGTGGAGCACGTGAAGGAGGTTTGAGAGGAAAGAGGGGGCGGAGGGAGGAGGGGGGTGGGGATAGGTGACCGGGAGAGACGAGTAGGAAGATGAGGGAGGTGGAGCGGAGGAGAGGGCGTGTTTGGAGGAGTGATGGGAGGTCGAGACCGGTTGATGTGCCGGCACCCTGGTAGAGGCAGATGGGAGGGAGGTTGATGTGGGGGAGGTGCAACTGCTGGGGGAAGTGGCAAGTGAGTGGTGAAGCAGCGGGTGTGTGGGTGAAGACAAGGGGTTGCTATCATCAGCACGAGAACCGGGTAGAGATTGCCCATCCGCATTCACAAGCGAGCTTGAAACATCCTCGTTATAGAGGTCTTCTTTGCTGCAAGATTGCCTTGGAGGGTCTTGAGCTAGGAGGGAGATTAGTGCAGCTAGCAGCAGGCTGATAGCAGCAATTGCAAGGAAAGCCAACCGCCACCCATCCATCCCAACCCTGAATAGCCGGGTTATTGTTTGGGCAGGTAACCCTGCTAGGGTAATTCCAATGCTGTACCCCAGAATATCCCCGAAGTAAGTCATGAACTGCAACCACCCGAACGCCATGCCGCGATTGGTCGGAGACGCCAGGTCAGCGACGAGCGACTGGATCGGGGGGAAGACCAGGGCGAGGCCGATGCCGTTGATCCCGCGCAGCAACGCCACCTGGCTGTATGACGTGGCGAGGGCCACTGCCAGCGTGGCAAGGCTCCAGATGAGCGCGCCCGTGGCGATGACGTGGACGCGGGGCATGTGGAGGGAGAGCCATGGCGCGAGCGGGCAGAGCAGCGCCTGCATGAGCGCGCGCACTAGGGTTAGCGCGCCCAGGTCTCTGGGGGATGCATTGAATGCGCGCCCCACCTGTGAAATGGGAGGGGAGGCACATGCAGGGGGGACCAGCTTGCTTCCATGAAACGAGCGGACAGAGCAGTGGAGGGCAGAGCAGCGCCTGCATGAGCGCGCGCACTAGGGTTAGTGCGCCCATGTCCCTGGGGGACGCATTAAAGGCGCGCCCCACCTGTGAAAGGGGAGAAGGGAATGAGGGAAGGGGGGAATGGGGGGGGGAGGAAGAGCAACGGAGGGCAGGTGAGAAGAGTGCGTGGGCTGGAGTGAGGGCGCTGAGGTTCTTTGGGCACGAGTGGATGGCACGCCACTCCTGTGAAGGGGACGGGGGAGGGAAGGGGGAGAGAAGGGGCGTTGGGAGGGGAGGAGGAGACGGGAGAGGAATGACGGGATAAGGAGGAGTACAGCGGAATCCAAAGAGATTCGGAGGAAAACGGTGGGAGATAATGGGGCATGGATGAATACGTATTTGAATGGGGCGGGACGGAAAAAGAAGGGAGAAGGGGGGCGGGGGACAGAGAGAAGAGCGCAAATGGGGAAAGGGAATGTGGAGAGGAGGGGGAGGGAAGTGCGGATATGAGGGGGGGAATGATCTCCTTCACGAGGCGGTCTAAAAACGCCCTGGCTGCGAGGGGGGCTGCGAGGGGGGCTGCGAGGGGGGCTTCAAGGCATCAGATTCTTTAGGGATCTCAAGATATGCCGATCCGCTTCGCTCGATCTGAGGATTGCAAACCGTTACGCGGTCGCGACGTTCTATGAGGTGGTAAACAGCGAGTCGTCGAGTTTCTAGCGACGCGACGCTCTAAAAGAGACTACGTCGTTGTACACCGCTGGCAGCAGCGACTCGTTGCGTTACTAGCAACTCGTTACCAGGAACGCGACGCTCTAAATGAGAGGAAGTCACGTCACGCCATCTACCTCGTTGTACACGGCCGGCAGCAGCGACTCGTCGGCCCTCTCGACGATCGCGGCGACGTTGACGAGGACAAGCGTGCGCAGTCGCACGTCGCACCACCATCGCGCGCTCATGCTCTCGCTCTCCTCCTGTCAAGCTAAACAGCTGCTCGGCTGCGGTTACTCTCCCGAACTAATCATGATGACTCCGAGTGGATCCAGACGGGTCGCACTTTAGGGTGTTAACATCACATCCTTATACTATTAATTCCCTATGCTGCCTGCCTAAGTATGGCCTGCACGCGAAGGACGCGAGGCGCAGGACGGAGTTTAGGCCCGCGAGAAATCTGGAGGAGCATGCAAAAGTATCGAATAAATGTCTGTTGGATTTCCCCAACTTTCACTACATGCAGTTTCGAAACAAGTCAAAACGCAACACTTTCACATTTTATTGCACACTACCGCTTTCGGAGTAGAATATAGATTTCTACAAGCAAAGCTTCACCGAACCTCCGTGTTCCCCGCTAGTCCCTCCCCATCTGCCGGAGCGCAAACTCGTTCGCGCGGATGCTTTCTTGCACCAATCGCAGCAGCTCCTTCGAGCTCCGCCCGGCCAGTAAGTCCACCGAGTCGCACGCCATCACAGCGGGCGAGAGCGACACACGCGACGCGTGCGACGCCGGCGAAGCCGCAGCAAGTCCACTTGTCCACCTGCGCGACGTCGCCTCGCTGCTCGCCTCGGCCGGGCTCCTTCCGAATCCCGAACCCCACCTCCTACGGCCGTCGTTCAGAGCGTTCAGCTCTTTTAATTGGCGCAACATAAGCGCGCGCGTCTCCGACGGCACAGGCATTGTCCGTGGGTGTACAGTGCAAGCTTTGGCCGCGATTGGCGCCGCCATTGCGGCCTTCGTGAACTCCGCAAGCATTTGTGAAAACGCCGTCGTGTCGGGAATCGACGGTGCGGATTGAAGCTTCGGCTGAATCAACGGCACAGCGACCGCGACTCCCGGGCTCGAGGCTCGCACGACCCTCTCGATCAGCTCAAGCTCGTTCGGATCGATTGGCGCGTAAACGACGCTCGCCGTCACCTGTGATGACGTGTCCTGTCGCGAATTTCGCAGCGATTCTTCGTCCGTTTGCCGATCAGCACGCGCTGCGTGTAGATTTGCGCGTGTAGCTTCCAATCTTGTTGAGATCGCCGCGGCGCTCGAGCCCTGCCGCTCAAGCGTTATGTTCCCTTCACTTGCACCAGCAATGCCTTTAGTTGATACCCCCACCACATTTTCCATTAATCCACCACCGTTGGTCCTTTCTCCGCCGTCCAAAGTTGCCAGGCCGCATTCGCCTGGTTCTCCGCTGCTTCGCGCGGCGCACTCAGGCCAGATCACATCAAGCAGCCGGATCGTCTCCTCGTCGAAATCGCCCAATTCTCCCAAATCGGCCAAGTCGGCTAAATCGCTCGCCTCGTTGCGCGACTGAAAGTCGTCTGACGGCGCAATCCCACGAAGCACATCGTTTCCAAAAACAGTATTAGGACCACCGGCCACGCGCGAGCTCTGGCTTTGACTAGGGCTGGTCGCCCCGACCCCCCATGTCTTACTGAAAACGGGTGCGCAAGTACCGCGGACGGTAGCTTCGTTGCGCGCGACTGGGTTGGAGTTTGTTAGCTCATCCAACGCCGCCATCACGTCAGCGGGCATCCGAAGACGGTCAGCATGCCAAAACGAGTCGCGATGGTCGCCGGGAAGGGTTCCCACTCGCTGGCGTTTCGTTTCTGAATTATCCATGTCGAGTCGCTGGCGCTTCGACTGGAAGAAGGGGGTGGCTGGGGAGAGAGGCGCGACGGCGACGGAGTTCGACGCGCAGGAGATGGAGTCGTGGGCGGGAACTAGTCCTGATGATCCCTGCGTCCCGTTTGAGAATGCGGGAATTGACGAGACGTTCCAGAGCGGCATTGCGCCTATGGATGTATCGTTCCAGAGCGGCACACGATATGTGTCGGCTGCTGTAGTCGGCGACTGAAGTCTATAGCTCAAGCCGTCTGCGAGGAGTCCGCGTTGTGACTGAAGGAAGGTATAGCATTTACGAGAGAGAAACTGGTGTGGTCATTGATGGTTGTGGAGCGCCCATTTGTATGCAGAGCAAGCATCAGCTGAGCGTCAGTCGAGTGTGAGTGAGGCTCATGGCAGCTGTGGGTGGAAAGTACTGTAGACGCGTCAGCTGGAGTGGAAAGAGGGAGGGAGTTTTCGCACAAAGCGACAGCTGCACATGGCGAGATTCGCCGCTGGCGAAATCCCCACCCCGCCTTGTTGTTGCCTTCGATGTGACGTGAAAACTCACTCCGTATAAAATCAGAAATTCTCTTGCAGCGTTTCAAAGCATCCCTGCAATGTCATGCTTTTGTCTCGATGCGGGCTGCTTCCTGACTGGCTTCACTGGTCTCAGCGGCCTCATGACGCCCGCACACGAGTGTGTGACTTTAACGAGCGGGGGCGTGTGTGGACCTGGGCCCGCTCCACTGGGAAGGTTAGAGCGCGGTACACCTGGCGCATTTTTAAGGATCACTTAGCTGAGATCACCGTCACCCCAATCGTAGGATCATTGGTAGCAAAACAACAAATTTTGTGGGCACATTACGATCCTCGTTGATGTACCAATTCCAATTTTGCATTGGTGATCCTCTGCGACCAGGCGACATCGCAACGAGTCACGAACGTTGATACTTCGCGTGCATATGTTGGCCGTGTAATATACTGAGACGAAACAACCTCATTGGTGAGATTTTCATTTTCGAAATGTTTTGATTTGATGCGACCTCGTTTCAGATGTACGACCTGATTGCGAAAGGAAAGTTTTTCGTCAACAAGGATCACCCTGACTTGGGTACAGAGTTGCAAAGATCGCCAAGAGATTGGCAGTCACGATGATCCTACGGACATCACAAAGATTGTGTACCATTGACTACACATGTTCCCGATCCCACCTCTGTTGGTACACCACCTGACACAGTGATCACTGTACTGTAGTAGGTGGGACACTGTTCCGCAAGGATCGCCGACGTGATCCTCAAAATGTAGCGATCTTTCCTTGGGTGTACCGCGCTCTTACATGTGATGACGAAAGCAGTTGTAGTAGAGTCCAAAGGTCAAAGGGTTTCCGGGCCTGCACCAACGACTCTGGGCAGCAATACAGTCGCTTCCAGCCAAACCTGGATGCAGGTTCGGATTGTACACGTGTTTCGAAATCAATGTCGTTCTGTTGTCGAGCACGTGGATATGAAACGGGACAGTGGACAAGGTTATGTACAGCTGGAAGAAATGCAACGCCACAGCTGGGGACGAGAGATGGGTGGGATGGGAGGACATTCCGGTTCCACCTGGCATTCGAGATTTGAGAGATGTCACTTGACACTGTCGGCTGCCTGCAAATCTGTCCACATGGTGAGTGGATCATCTTCGACGCACATGCATGCAATGCAATCAAGCTTCATGTGTGAACAGTGGCACGCGGCGGAGCACATGGGGGAGAAGGGGGGGCGAGGCTCACGTTAGCAGGGCAATTACCCTGTTTTGACTTAAATTATAGGGCTTTTTTCAGTCCAACCCTGATTTTCACTAGGTGATTTTTAAGCCAGCCCGTAAAACTGAAGGGTGATTTCTTGAGCAACTCGGATCCTCCGGGATGTTTCTGAGGGGACCCGTATAGTTTTAGCAACACTTGTTCTCCTCGAGCTGCTTTGCATTCCCCTCCTCTCCCCGTGTACTATGTGTGGGCCAATTTTAGTGGAATTTCCTTACCACTCGCTCCTGGTTTGGCCTTCGTCTGGTTGCCCCATCCTACGTAGGAATGGGTTAGACTTGACTCTTCGAGAGATTTTCTTGTAAGTCAGCAAAAAGTCTCTCTCCAACCCTCTAGAGCCGCTCCTACATCCCCAACCTCCCCCCCAGCCGTAGTGCCGTGAGTTTCTCGATCTCTCCCCCATCTCGCGAAATTTTGGTAATGCAGGTCTTCAGGCCTTTTCTGACTAGAACCCGGATTCGACAAGCCTTTTTTTCCCCTGGCTCGGATTTTACAGGGTCTTTTTCACAGGGGCCCGGATCGTCCGGGCTAGCAAAAATCCTAGCAATAGCCCTGGGGGCGAGACGAGAGACAACACAAACAACCGATACAAGGGCAATGGTTGCTGAAAACTCCGCTACAAATGCATTTCGTTAAAAATGCTTTACATACGTGGTTGGACCACTGATAGAAGAACAAGCCTTATGGGAAACACATAAAATTTAGCACTTTGGTGGCTCCATGTTTATGTAAACTAGTTTTAACGCTTCGATTAATATGAAACGGAATAAGATCGATAAATGATGACATGCACTCTGTGCTAGAGGGATAAATGACACCCTGTTTTTGTTACAAGTGCCAAATCATATGATTATCTCTTACTGGTGCAACAAAAAAGGGGACACGGTCTCGTCGCGTTTCCCATAGTTCGCTATCCTACGTAGTGTGTTCGAGTATAAGATGCAAAGCAGGACCACCTGAGCACCAGCCACTCGGTGCATTCGGATGTGCCGTACCGTCATAGCCTTGTCGTCGTCGTGTGGTCGGCTGTTTGAAATCGAACAGACCCATGGCGGGACCGCATCCGCGGGCCAGTAGCTCCCCGTTCGCGACACACCAGCGCTCCTTCCTGCTCCACTCAACCACTCAGACTCGCCTCGCGATCGTCGCCGCGCTGCTAGTCGTCTCCTTGTTTCTCGTCCTCCCTCAATCCACTCGCGAGCTGCTCTTTCACAGCAGCACCTCACCAGAATCCCTCTCTCCTTCCGCGTTTCCGGGTCTCGAGGCTCCCAATGCCACGTCAGCCAGTAATGTCCACGTGGATGCTGACGTGGAGCACGTCACCCGGTCGCCTCTGGTCCCGCTGACGGTGCTTGCTGACCTGGATGATGACGGGGCAGTGTGCTTGGATGGCTCGCCGCCGGCCATCCATCTCTCCCCCGGATGGGGTCGCGGGGCGAACAACTGGCTGATATACCTCGAGGTCGGTCACACAAAGTCAACGCAGGTCAACGCAGGTCAACTCAGGTCGATGTATGCCAATGCTGGTCGAACGCGGTCAGTGAAGGTCAATGTACGTCAGTGCCAGTTAACGACGTTCAATGCAGGTGCAAGCCACTCGACGCGTGACCATTGCTAGCCTTGGTGCACTTGGCGAGCAGCAGGAGCTCTCGGTTCTGTCACCTGACCTGAATGTGTTGCAACAATGTTGAAATCACTTTTGAGAATTCTCAGAAGTGATTTCAACATAGCAGCAGGAACCCTCGGTTTTTGTCACCTGAATGTGTTTCAACAAGGCGGCGTAGCCCTCCTGAGACGTCTTACCATGTTGACAATGTGATGTGATGTGACAGCTTTTCTGCAACCAACCCAAGCACTCGTTACTGTCACATGCATGTGTTGTGGCAGGGCGGGGGGTGGTGTAACAGCGAGGAGGAGTGCGCGCATCGCGCCGCCATGCATCTGGGCTCGTCCAAGCGCATGGGCGGACTCATGGCCTTCGGGGGGATCCTCTCCCATGACCCTTCAGTAAACCCTGGTGCGTTGAATGTAGACCCTGGTGCGTTGAATGTAGACCCTGGTGCGTTGAATGTAGACCCTTGTGCGACAACTGAGTCGTCTCAAAAGCACCCACCTGGGGTCGTCCAAGCGCATGGGTGGACTCATGGCCTTTGGGGGGATCCTCTCCCATTTGTTGAAAGTCAACTCTGCAAGTCAACTCTGATAGTCAACCTGGTGACTTGAATATTGACCCGGTTGCGCTCAATAAATCTCAACTGCACCTTAAAAAACAAAAACAAAACGACCCTGCTGCGGTCATTAAAAGTCAGCTAGGGGTCAAGCCTGGCGAGTATGGTGCGTTGAAAGACCCGAAATATCCTTCTACATTCCGCGTCACGCTGCCGTTCCTTCTTAAGCAGCAGTGGTCCCCACCCAGACACAGGTCTTTTCGCCTTTCCATTATAGCACTCTTGCTCCCTTGCTGCGTATGTTTTTTGAGAATTCTAAAAAAACATACCCCATCCAGACACAGGTCTTTTTGCCTTTCCATTATAGCACTCTTGCTCCATTTCTCTCTCACCATTTCTCTCTCACCATTGCTCTCCCACCATCGCACTTCCTCCATAGCCCTGCTGCTGTTGCTCTTCTGTCAATATTCCTTCCCCTCCACTCGCCAACAGACTTCTACAATTGGAACCTGGTTCTCTTTCGTTATTGTGACGGTGCCTCATACCTGGGTGACACAAACGAGCCAATCCAGACAAACGCCGGTCTTGTCTTTTTCCGGGGGAGGCGCATCTTCGACGCCGTGACCCGGTACCTCGTCTCCCACCACGGCATGGGGGCGGCATCCCTTGTCTTGTTATCCGGCTGCTCTGCTGGCGGGCTGGCCGCCTTGCAGCACTGTGATAGGCTGGCGGCGATTCTCCAACAATCCTCTAGCCAATCAAGATCGAGCACGGGAGCAGGAGCCGAGGAAGGAGGAGAGGGTGGAGAGAAGGAGGGAGTGAGGGAGGGAGAGGAGGAGAGAGTGATGGAGGGGAGAGGTGGAGTGGTGAAGTGCATGGGTGATGCGGGGTTCTTTTTGGACTCGGAGGATGTTGGAGGAGTGAGGCGCATGCGAGAGCGGTTCAAAGCGGTTGTTGAAACTCAGGTGTGCTGGGCTGAGCTGGCACGAGTTGGCATGAGCTGCCATAAGCTGAGGGGAATGACAGAGGACTGTTTTTGGCGCGTATTAAGCAGATTCTCACACAGGCTCCCCTTACCTATGTGTGCTGCTCCTAGTGCTCCTATTTCTTCTGCTGCATCTGCTGCACCTGCTGCACCTGCTGCACCTGTGGTGGTGCACATGGTATCAGGATGACTGCTTTCCCTGCTCTCCATTTCCCATCGCCCAAGTCCCCATTGCCTCCTCAGCTGTATCCACGTCAAATTGTCCTCCCCTCTCCTTCCCTTCGTGCAAGGTGTTTTTTCAGTCGACTAAAACGGATCCTCCCATTCCTCTGCCTCCCTTTCCAAATTCCCCTCCCTTCCACTCTTCCACTCCCTCCCCTCCCCCTCCACACCCGGGCCCATCAGAACGTGTCTCTGCATGAGCGGTGCACGGCAGCTGTGGCACCACAGGACCACTATCTGGTCTGCTCCTCTTCCTTCTTGCTCCCCTTCATTCTTGCTCCCCTTCATTCTTTCTCCCCTTCATTCTTGCTCCTCTTCCTTCTTGCTCCCCTTCATTCTTGCTCCAGCTGCAGCTTCTTCTTTTTTGTTGTTGTTTGCTGCTCACTGTTGCCTTCCTCTCTGCATCGAGCACGTGCGGTTGAAAGTCATCAAGCAATGTTTTCTGTGCCGATGGCTCATGGTTAGCTGTCGCAATGTGAATCTCTGATGGCTCATGGTTCAATTTGAATTTCTGACGGCTCATCGTTAGCTGTCGCAATTTGAATGACTGATGGCTCATTTTTGGAAGAACGCAGGAAACAGTGGACATATCACCTTGCCCATCATGTATAATCCGAACGCTCATCCGTAGCCCATAGCCCATCCATGACTCAAACTCTATTATCCATGAACCATGACCTCTGGTTTATCACTAATTAATTTCTTCCTTTTCTCCCCACCATCCACCATCCACCATGCACCATGCACCATGCACCATGGCATTATGCACCATGCACCATGCACCACGCACCATCCACCATCCACCATGCACCACCCCCATCCGCCTTGCCCCATCCGCCATGCCCCGTGCACCATGGCTTATGCCCCATGCACTCAAAATGCCCATGCACCATGCCTTATGCCCCATGCCCCATGCCCCATGCACCACGCCCCCAGTGCTTCTTCCCGGAGCATCTCCTTCCCTTCCTGCGCCGGCCCTTCTTCATTCTCAACCCCCTCTACGACTCCTTGCAGGTAATTCTTACAGCCACCCCTGGCAGGTAATTCTTACAGCCACCCCTGGCAGGTAATTCTTAAAGCCACTCCTGGCAGGTAATTCTTAAAGCCACTCCTGGCAGGTAATTCTTAAAGCCACCCCTGGCAGGTAATTCTTAAAGCCACCCCTGGCAGGAAATTCTTAAAGCCACTCCCCGCCGGTATTCACTGACGAGCCCGAGTAATTTTGCACTCTACACTCATATGCCTTCCATGTTTTCTTGAACTGTACTCATGCACCCTGTACACTGTGCTACACTGGTTGTTCTATATGGTACAATTCGTTCAGTTCCCTACCCCACGTTCTGCTTCTGCACATACATTATACTAATATCACTACTATCCATACCACCAGCCAAACCAACCCCGCTAGCCCTTTTCCCTCTTTCCACCCACCCTCTCCTCAACGCAACCCCCTTCCCCTCCCCTCCTCCAAACAACCAGCTGTCGTTTTCCTTCCCCCAGCAGCAATCGTTTCCCTCTCTCCACTGGCACCACTGCTGCACTGACCTGCGCTCCTGCCCCCTGCCCTCCCCACAAACCCTTCTTCTCCCCCCGCTCCCCCCTTCCCTCCCGCCACAACCAGCTGTCCTTCTCATTCGCCCAGCAGCAATCGTTTCCCTCCATCGACTGGCACCACTGCCGCACTGACCTGCGCTCCTGCCCTCCCCAGCTGCTGCAGCTCCTCCACGGTACAGTGCGGTGATGAACGGTGAGATGCGATGAAGAGCGCTGCTGCGTGGTGCTCCTGCTTTAGCCGTTCTCATCTCCTACCCCACCCCACCCCGCACCATCCCCCTGCCAACTCCCCGTGCATGCCCAAACTGCACACCGTCCCCCTGCACACCGCCCCCCTGCACACCGTCCCCCTGCACACCGTCCCCCTGCCACTGCCAAGCCGAAAGCCAAGGCAGCTGATGCGTCCACCGTCCCCCTGCCAACTCCCCTTGCATGCCAACTCCCCTTGCATGCCCAACTCCCCTTGCATGCCCATCTCCCCTTGCATGCCCAACTCCCCTTGCATGCCCAACTCCCCTTGCATGCCAACTCCCCTTGCATGCCCAACTCCCCTTGCATGCCCAACTCCCCTTGCATGCCAACTCCCCTTGCATGCCCAACTCCCCTTGCATGCCCAACTCCCCTTGCATGCCCAACTCCCCTTGCATGCCAACTCCCCTTGCATGCCCAACTCCCCTTGCATGCCCAACTCCCCTTGCATGCCCAACTCCCCTTGCATGCCCAACTCCCCTTGCATGCCCAACTCCCCTTGCATGCCCAACTCCCCTTGCATGCCCAACTCCCCTTGCATGCCCAACTCCCCTTGCATGCCAACTCCCCTTGCATGCCAACTCCCCTTGCATGCCCAACTCCCCTTGCATGCCCAACTCCCCTTGCATGCCCAACTCCCCTTGCATGCCCAACTCCCCTTGCATGCCAACTCCCCTTGCATGCCAACTCCCCTTGCATGCCCAACTCCCCTTGCATGCCCAACTCCCCTTGCATGCCCAACTCCCCTTGCATGCCCAACTCCCCTTGCATGCCAACTCCCCTTGCATGCCCAACTCCCCTTGCATGCCCAACTCCCCTTGCATGCCCAACTCCCCTTGCATGCCCAACTCCCCTTGCATGCCCAACTCCCCTTGCATGCCCAACTCCCCTTGCATGCCCAACTCCCCTTGCATGCCAACTCCCCTTGCATGCCCAACTCCCCTTGCATGCCCAACTCCCCTTGCATGCCAACTCCCCTTGCATGCCCAACTCCCCTTGCATGCCAACTCCCCTTGCATGCCCAACTCCCCTTGCATGCCCAACTCCCCTTGCATGCCAACTCCCCTTGCATGCCAACTCCCCTTGCATGCCCAACTCCCCTTGCATGCCAACTCCCCTTGCATGCCCAACTCCCCTTGCATGCCCAACTCTCCTTGCATGCCCAACTCCCCTTGCATGCCCAACTCCCCTTGCATGCCCAACTCCCCTTGCATGCCCAACTCCCCTTGCATGCCCAACTCCCCTTGCATGCCCAACTCCCCTTGCATGCCCAACTCCCCTTGCATGCCCAACTCCCCTTGCATGCCTAACTCCCCTTGCATGCCCAACTCCCCTTGCATGCCAACTCCCCTTGCATGCCCAACTCCCCTTGCATGCCAACTCCCCTTGCATGCCAACTCCCCTTGCATGCCCAACTCCCCTTGCATGCCCAACTCCCCTTGCATGCCCAACTCCCCTTGCATGCCCAACTCCCCTTGCATGCCCAACTCCCCTTGCATGCCCAACTCCCCTTGCATGCCCAACTCCCCTTGCATGCCAACTCCCCTTGCATGCCCAACTCCCCTTGCATGCCAACTCCCCTTGCATGCCCAACTCCCCTTGCATGCCCAACTCCCCTTGCATGCCCAACTCCCCTTGCATGCCCAACTCCCCTTGCATGCCCAACTCCCCTTGCATGCCCAACTCCCCTTGCATGCCCAACTCCCCTTGCATGCCAACTCCCCTTGCATGCCCAACTCCCCTTGCATGCCCAACTCCCCTTGCATGCCCAACTCCCCTTGCATGTCAACTCCCCTTGCATGCCCAACTCCCCTTGCATGCCCAACTCCCCTTGCATGCCAACTCCCCTTGCATGCCCAACTCCCCTTGCATGCCCAACTCCCCTTGCATGCCCAACTCCCCTTGCATGCCCAACTCCCCTTGCATGCCAACTCCCCTTGCATGCCCAACTCCCCTTGCATGCCCAACTCCCCTTGCATGCCCAACTCCCCTTGCATGCCCAACTCCCCTTGCATGCCCAACTCCCCTTGCATGCCCAACTCCCCTTGCATGCCCAACTCGTCATGATCGCTCCGCACTTTTGAGACGTCCCAATACCATCAACCCCTCACTTCTCTTACCTGCACCAAAGCCCATAGCCACCTTGTGAGGCGCCTCAAAAGGCCCAGCTTACCTGCACCAAAGCCCATAGCCACCTGCCCCATGCCTAGAAATCCTTCTATACGCTCTGCCGCACGCGGATCCTTCTATACCCCAACCTACCCCACCCCACCGCACCCCACCTTGCACCACCCCACCGCACACAGGGTACCACCATCAGATGGTTGCCAAGCTGTCCCCTTTCCTCCCGGACACACACTCTCCTGTCCCTCCCCCCAACCGCCGCCGGCGCCTCTCCTCGGTGGTAGGCGGAGGGATGGGTGCTGGAGCGGGAGGGACAGAGGAGGTGGAGGTAAAGGAGAGGGGGGATGGTGATGGTGAGGTGGAGGAGGGGGACGATGGGGAGGGTGGGAGTGGGAAGGAGACAGGAGGCGAAGATGAGAGAGGGAGAGAGGAGGAGAAGGGAAGTGAGGAGGAGTCGGAAAGTGAAGAGAAGAGGGGGGGTGAGGAGGAGAAGGAAGAGAATGAGGAGGCAAAGGGAAGTGAGGGTGGTGCACGTGGAGAAGGGAATGAGGAGGAGGAGGAAGAAGAGGAGGGGGAGGAGAAGCAAAGAGCAGATGAGTCTGCTGTCAAGGGGCAGAATAAAGGGCTGGACGTTGGAGGGGTGGGGAGGGGTTTTGGAGAGATAGGGAGGGATGCGCTTGGTGCAGGGGAGGGCGAGGCGTTTTCTTCCCACCAGGTCTCCGCCTCTGCCTCGCGCAATGGAGCTATGCTGCTGTCCTGCCATCTGCACTGCATGGTGAGTGGCACTTGAGTTGAGTTATGAGTTATGAGATGCCATGTGCAGCACTGCATGGTGAGTGGCACTTGAGTTGAGTTATGAGTTATGAGATGCCATGTGCAGCACTGCATGGTGAGTGGCACTTGAGTTGAGTTATGAGTTATGAGATGCCATGTGCAGCACTGCATGGTGAGTGGCACTTGAGTTGAGTTATGAGTTATGAGATGCCATGTGCAGCACTGCATGGTGAGTGGCACTTGAGTTGAGTTATGAGTTATGAGATGCCATGTGCAGCACTGCATGGTGAGCGGCACTTGAGTTGAGTTATGAGTTATGAGATGCCATGTGCAGCACTGCATGGTGAGTGGTACTGGCAGGGCCTGTGGACCACTTCTCCCTCCCTTGTTATCTCTCCCTGTCTCTCACGTCCTTGCTGACTCCTCCCCCTTTCTTCCCTTGCACCAGGCACTGGCATCACAAGCATGGCACGGGGCGGGGGCTCCTCGTGTTTCGGGCGAGGTGAGTCATTTTATTGTTTATTGTTGCCACAATGTTGTGCTGTGCTGCATAGATAAGCCTTTGTGCTTCTGATCGCGCATTTGATTGGTGCATGTATGGTTAGCAGATGAATGTGATTTAGATCCCGTTCATACACATAGTTTCGTTCGCTGCCATCCGTTTCTCTCCGTCATTGCATCTGATGTGTTCAGACGATGGCAGAAGCTATTGGTGATTGGTATTTCGACCGGAAAGTAGCAAAGCTAGTCGACTGCCCTTTCCCTTGCAACCCAACCTGTCTTTTAGGTGCTTGACATACTAGGGCCTATGCATCTTAGTGCAATTGTTTTCATTGTAGTTTCCTTGTTGTGGAAACTGTTTTGCGGTAATATTGAATACTGTTACTGTATAATAGTCCAATTTAGAAGGCTCACTCCGCACGGCAATCGATATTGTATCGCACCGCAACAGTTACAACCTGATGGGACCAGGCTTCTTCCGCTTCGCAGGCCTAAAAATATTCCAAATTATATAATCCACCTAGCAGGTCAGGTCGGATCTCAGAGCAACAAACCAATGAATTCCCAGGCCCGTAACTTTCACACAAGTAGAAACCTGCGCCTCCGAGCCTACCTTGAGATGAACGCGAAGCGACCTGAACTGCAAAGGGAACCAGATTCGAGCACAGGTCGATGCTGCTCCAGGTCGGATTCAAGGGGACTGTACAGGCGATTCGTTTCTCCTGAATCTAACCTGGCACCCGTGACTCGAGGATGGAGGAGAACCGAGACCTTGCTGCGACACGCAACAATTCCAACACAGCGCTCTACTGCACACGTAGCTTCCGGCAAGCGAGGTATCCTACCTCACACACAAGGAAAATTGGTGGTGGTACAAGAAGGGTGGTAAAATCCTCTTCCATTCAGCATTGAAGTACCGGAGTGTCAAGTATATCATATTGTGGAGTCTGTGACTGTCTCAGAATCAACATTTCCTTTTCAACAGGTTCATCCCCAAGACATATAACGAACCTCATGGCGCGTCTACTTCTCGTCGCGTCGTTCGCCGCCCTGCTGGCGGTGGCGTACGCAGGACAAACCGTCGTGACGGGACCCAACAACCCGGCGGTCAACCTGGACAAGGCCAAGGGCGACAATGGCGTGGCGTCGGAGGTGCCTTCTGGCATCGAGAAGGCTGCGGCTGCGGGCGGGCTGGACAAGTACGAGGGGACGACGATCGTGAGCCCGAGCACGGACAGCATGCTGATGGTTGACGTGAAAGCGGCCGGGTGGAACAAAATGAAGTGCCACAAGGACCTGGGCAAGCCCGGGGACGGCGCGTGCACGCCCGCCAACTGCAGCAAGGGCGGCATCCCCGCCAAGTGGAAGACGTCGAACCTGCTCAAGAACAAGCTGGGCGTGGAGGTGTACGTGAAGGGCAACCCGCTGACGCTGAAGAAGGCGTCCCCGCAGACGTGCTGCAACACGTGCGCGGGGTACAGCAGCTGCACGTACTGGCAGTACATCCCCGATATTACCATCGACGGCAAGAAGACGGACGGCGCGTGCTACCTGGTACACGACAACATCGACTACTCGTGCGGCGAGCTGACGGCGCAGTACGCGACGGACTCGAAGCCCATCGCGCTGCAGGTGCGCACGGGCGGCGAGTGCAACCCCGCGGCGAACGTGGTGAACGACCCGCATCTGGTGGGCGCGTACGGCACGCACTTCGACTTCAACGGGCGCCCCGACAAGGCGTTCTGCCTGCTGACCGACAAGGACCTGCACGTGAACATGCTGCTGCGAGGGTACTACTCGGACGACACGGAGAACGCGGCGCTCGTTGTTGACGGCAAGGCCGTGCACACGTGGATCAAGGAGCTCGGCATCGTGTGGTTCGCCAACGGCGCCGACCACAAGGTGCGGCTCGCGGCGCGCGCTGGCAAGCAGCAGGAGCGCGGCGATGGTTTCATGAAGACGATCGAGATCGACGGCGAGGAGATCCCGAGGATGAGCGTGGGCGACGAGGTGACGACCGAGGGCGGTCTGACTGTGCGGTTCGCGGCGCTGGAGAAGGAGGGCCCGTATGACGTGGACTACTACACGCTCACCATCGACGGGCTCGTGGCGCTCGACCTGCGTCTGCGCGTCGCCAACCCCAAGCTGCAGACGCCCAGCGAGGCCGAGGCGCACATCAACGTGGGGATTGTGGAGCTGGAGCACACCGACGACGTGCACGGCGTGCTCGGCCAGACGTACCGCCCCGACCACGCTGCTCGCGCCGCCGACTTCCAGCGCCTGATCGCGAACTTGCACCGGCCGGTGTCGGCTGACAGCGCGGAGGGTGCTGGGTTCCTGGACGGCACTCCCAGGCTGTACGAGTCGAGCTCCGTGCTGTCCGTGGACTGCGCGCAAACCGAGTACCACCGCGCCAAGCAGCTGAGCCCCGTCGAGGATTTCCCCATGGAGCCCCTCAACTAGATTGACATGCTCCGTTGTTCCCTTGGTGGGCTGCGTTTTGGTGGGCTGCGATTCAGTGGGCTGGGTTTTGGTGGGCTGTTAATCTAGCTCTTGTATTGTATGTACGATTCCTTCGATATTTCATACTTCTATCCTTTTTCGCAGCAATCAGGTAGCTGAAAGCGTAATGACCGAGGTAGCTCCCCCGCGCCCGAGTTCCCCAGGGAGCTACTAAACTAAATTTACATCGTAACTCGCCGCACCCGAACTGGAGTTCCTTGGGGAGCCACTCGACTAGGTTTACATCCCCTGCTAATTCAGAGGGTTGTGATCGACATGCCGCGTCATTCCCGCGGTGGGCCGGAATATGGTGGGCTTGGATTTGCGTTTTCTGATTATATGCTATTTTTTTAGATCTGTACAGCTCTCGATTAATCGAGATACGGTACTCCCAGTGTACTAATTCTCCCAAATTCATGGCCATGATATAAATTACTAGTTTCACATCAGATAGGACAGTCAAACCACATCACTTCCTTCCCTTTTTGTTTCAGGCGGAATTGTAATTATGATATACGTGTTTGGGTTTCCAGGGCATTGCTTTAGGACGCGTCACAAGTAAAACACCGATCCTGCATAGAATCGGTGTTTAGGTGGTTACATTATTTCGTTAATTTTCGTTAACATACAGTTGTCCCTTCGGAGTCAGGCGATCGATGTGCCCTTGTCACACATCGATCGTGCAATTTCGTCCACATCGGGCAATTTTGCCCCATGTTTTTACGATCGTGTCACTTGAAACTTGCAGCGGGCCCGCGATTGCAAAAAAGCAGTCGTGGCACACCGATATGGCGATGTTTTGCAGGATCGGTGAACAACCCCGATCCTTCCTCAGTATTCTACTTGTGACGCGTCCTTAGTGACAAATGCCCATTTCACTTGCAGCAAATTTAATTACAGGTGGTGCCTAAGCTCCTAGCTACCTGATCAATTTGCAGATTTTGCAGGAACTGCCAAGGAGGAATTCGAAATCAAGCCTAGAAAACAAACTGAGCACTAACCCCAGCCAAAACCTGCAACTCAACTACACCCAGAAAACCCTCATCTCCCCAGCCCCTCCCCTCCCTGCTCCTAAATTTGCGCCTCTAACTTGAATATTTCGGGGTGTTGAGATCCCAAGGTCAGATGTGCACCACACCCAAGCCTGCATCCCTTATTAACACAGCCTTTGACTCCGTAGACCATTGTGCAGTGCACTGCTGGTCCCACCAGCTTCAGCTTCATGCTTCCCTCCTGCCTGCATTGCCCATGCGACTGCACTGCACCCTCAGCAGCTTCTGCTGCTGAAACCACCAACACAGCCGCCGCAACACAACTTGCACGTTCTGCACCTCCACAAATTCCTATCCTGCTGCTTCAGGCTTCAACTGTCCCTTTCTCCTTCCATTGCTCCATCCGATGCGGGTCCTGCTGCTGCCCCTCAGCCAGCGCACCTCCATCCCAGCCGCTGCTTCTGCTGCGACTGAGCCCTTATGTTACCTTGGATTCCACCGAGTGCCGTTAATGTCTGTCAGCTTGCCCACCCAGCCGCATTTTCACGCACACACCGCATCCCGCGGCGAAGAAAACTGTTCGTCAGCTCTCGAACCTGAACCTGAACCTGCTGCTGCTGCTGCTGTTGCTGCTGGCACTGCCGCTGCTACTACATTGGGTGACTCTTCAACCAACACTGTCACAGCAGGGCCATCAACAGACACCACTGCAGGGACCACCGCAAGCATTTCTAAAGAATCGGCAGAAGCAAGAGAATCAATTGAAGGAAGCGAGTCGAGAGTAGGAAGGGAGTCAAGGCAGGGAAGGGACTCAAGAGGAGACAGACAGTCAAGCGAGTCAAGAGGGATGGAGGAATCCAGAGAAGGAAGCAGCTCCACATCCCCTACCCTTGTCACGTGCTCGAGCGAGATGACAGATCCCATGGGGGGAGAGGAGGGGACAGACAGCTCAACTGAGTCCAGGAGAATCTCTTCATTTGTTATCCCCCGAGCACCACCACACTCGCTCCTCTCAGCATCAGCGATTTCAAGCCCAAGAGCCGCAAGAGGGAGTGGGGAATCAGGAGCAGTGGTCATCAGGCGGTCAACAGCCGCAGCCACTGATTCGTCTGATTCTTGGAGCGTGTCAAGGAGAGCGTCTGTAAGGGCTGCTGCAGAATCCGTTCCCTCCGATCCGTTGGTTGTTTCAGTGAGGGTCCTGGTGGTAGGTGGTGCAGGTTCTTGCGCGGCAGGAGGCAGAGATTCACCTGATTCAGAGACTGAGAATGAGGAGATCTGCTCGGGGAGCGCCGGGATTCCCAAGGGGAAATCTTCCGAGTCAGATGTTGTTACGGATTCCGTGTCCGCAGCTGCAGCTTCTGCTGCCGCTGCTTTCTCTGCTGCTTCTGCTTCTACTTCTGCGGCTGCCGCCACTGCTGCTGCTGCAGCCACCCTTTCTGCTGCCACTGCCCTATCAGCAGCAGCCTCGGCAGCAGCGGCAGCAGGAGCCGCATACTGCCACGCCTCAAACGCAGGAACGCCAGCACTGGCAGCAGCATAATGCGGCGAGTTGACCAGCACAGGGATAGGAGTCAACCCTGAAAACCCCGAGGGGGAAGCCGAATACGCCTGCTCCAATGCCGCGGCCGCCGCTGCTGACGCCTCTGCCGCTTCTGCCGCTGCTGCTGCCGCCACCGTTGCCGCTTCTGCCGCTGATTCAGCAGGCAAAGCAGGAGCAGAGGAGGGCTGGGCGGAGGAGGTTTGGAGGCCAGCGAAGCGGGCGAGGTCGACCCACTGGGAGGTGCCCCAGTAGGAATTGACCGTGCGTGCCACCATTGAGAGCGCAGCTCCGGCCATGGGGTTGGCGGCTAGATAGTAGTCGGCAATCCAGTGCTCCACCACCCCGCCTATCACCTGGTACCGGAGATTCGCTGACGTGGCAAGGAACCCGCCATAGACAGCAGCAGTCTTCAGCACAGGGGACCGTTTCGTTGCACCAGGCGCGGCAGCAGCAGCTCCAGCAGCAGCAGCGCCAGCAGCGCCAGCGGCTCCAGCAACAGACAATTCCCCCAGGCGGTTCTTCACCTCCATAAACAAGTTATTCAGCGCTACAGTGCCAACACTCGCCGAGAACCCTACAGTGAACAGCTTCCCGCTTGTAAAGAGGATGGACGCGAGCCGCTGCTGCAGCCCCCAGTCTTGCCCCGGCTGCGTCGCCCTCTGAAACGCGTTCTTCGGCAGCGTCGCGGCCCACGCACCCACCCCTGATACCAGCTGCTGCACCGGCCCTTGCGCTGCGCCCGCCGCGCCCGCCGCTCCTGCTGCTGCGGAGCCCGCGATAGAAGAGGCGGCAGAGGCGGCGGGGAACGAGAGCGTGGGAGCGGGTAACCAGACGGTGAAGAAATTAACGATAACGCCTCGCAGCACGTCCGTCGCGACGTACTCGATCTCCGACCAGAATCGATCGCGCCGCTTCTCCCACTGCGCGAGAAGAGCCGTCGTAAGGCTAATCGCCTCCTCCGTTACTATCCGTTGGAGGAACCGCGGATCCGCGTACACGCGCTCCCGCAATCCCTGGAAGCGCTTCGTCGCCTCCGCGACTAGCGGGTGGCTTTCTAACTCGAAGAACGAACGGAGCGTATCCGGGGAGATTAATCCGCGTTCTATCCCCGTTTGTAGGTCCTGCGGTAGGTTGTCGAAGGTTCTCCCCGCTGCACCCATCACGCGCGCGATTTCCGCCCGGTCGAAACAGTTTTGAGTGCACATGCGGCTGCCCGAGTACCAGAAAAAATCGGCTTCGGGCATCTCGCCATCTGCCCGGCTGCGCTGCCGCTCGGGGTTGAGGAGAACCACTCGTTGCGACGCGGCGGAAGTTTTCAGCTGCCCGTTGTTGATCCGGGCAGGAACTCCGGAACCCTGGGCTCCGTAGCGCACTTGCGATGCGCCCGTGAGGACGACGAGCAGCCCGACGATTCCGCCGTCCGCCATGGCCTGGTCGATGCTGCGCGCCACGGCGTGCTGCTCCACCACGCGCGCCTGCGCGAACCAGTACGGTCCCGGCCCGAACGGCAGCGACGTGCGCGACACCGCCTCCCGCGAATACACCTCCGCCGCCACCGCCGCCGGCTCCAGCCCCCACAGCCCCGCCGTCGCGGACGCCGCCGAGGAGGGGGAGGTGGCAAGCAGTTGGTCCGTTGATGCGGAGGGGGAAGGGGCGGGGAAACCGCCGAGGGGAGGGGCGTAGCGCTGGCGGTCGATGGGCGCGAGGGCTTGCACTCCGCCGGCCTGCACCGTGCGCAGGATCTGAAGCAGATGGGGGCGCGGGGGAGAGGGAGCGGAGGGCGGGGACGGGGAAGACAGAGCGAGGAAAAATGTTATTTCAAATGTTCTCGACAAGCAACGAGGGTACGAGGGAACGAGGGAACAAGGCCCAAACAGCTGTCGAGGTTCTTGAAAGGACCGTGGCGCGCCGCTCACCTTGGGAGGTACGCCGCACGCGAAAAGGCGGACGCCCGAGTCGCGGCAGTACCGAAGGAGCGGAACCATCTCCTCGAAGCGACCCTTGGACCAATGGCTCACTGCCACCTGGAGGTCCTCTTCAGAAAGCCTGGCAGAGAAAAAAACAGATACGATACAAAAATCTTGCATCTCTCAAAAGGATACAGCGAGTCACGGTGTAGCGCGTACAAGAAGATGCCTCACCTTTTGTTGAGATATTTGTCGAGAAGCGGCTGCGTGGATCGCGGGAACGCGGAGAGCGCGAGCGTGACAGGGCGGCCCGCCTTAAAGCACTCGTCTCTCAACCGACTTACGACTTCCAGAGCCACGACCTGGACAATTAACAAAGCAGGTTAACAAGGGGAAAATGGGCTTCAAGGATTAAGCCTTAATCTATATGTTGGAAACACGGGGGTAGCATGTGTCAAGATAGACCGAAAATCAATCCTAAGTACAATTAACACCGTAAACTGAACCGAATTGAGATTATAACTCTGTAAGAACCAAATCAAGCCTCACCTTGTCCGTCGGGTCGCGAACCATCTCTGCTTCGCCCAAGTACACCACTCGAGCCGCCACAAGTTGTTGCCAAACGTCCTCCTTATCCCCCAGCAGAGCCGGCTCTCCGACCGCCGTCGCGTCGTAAACACGCGACTCGGGGCCCTTCGGCGCTGCCGGGCTCTTCACGCCGCCATCCACGCTCACTCCGCCGCCGTTAGCGTTGCCGAGGAACCACAGCGGGGACTTCTCTTTCCCCGCTTCCGCCGCCGCCGCGTTGACCAGTCCCAGCTCAGCGGCGGCTGCGGCGCCGAGTGCGGCGACGCCGATGCCAAGCAAAGCGCGACGATTAAGACGTGGAGTAGGCAGAGCGAACCGCGACGGCAGATGCGGAAGCACGATCGCCGGGACAGCCGCCGATTGCGGTTCTTCGACTTGCTGGAAGTTCAGCTTCGATTCCGCCGGATTGCCCGCGCCAGTTGCGCCAAGTTCCTCGCTACCGCCTGCGGACGTCTCCGCGGAATTGGTGCGGGAAGCCGCAGGGCGCGCAGACACGGCGGAGATTAAGCGCTTAATCGACCGCAGCGCTGGTGGAGCCTTAATCACGAAGACCGAGCCGAAAGAGTGCGGTGCTAATATTTCGGCGTTTCTTAGAGCTGGCGCAAGGGCGAGACTGGCCTTAACTCGCGGTCCGCTTTTTTTACTGATGGTTGAAGAGCTAACACGATCTTTCGAGGAAAGTCCGCCACGAGATCTTGAAGCTGACCCGCGAGAGAAGCTAGTCGAGGAAGAAGACAAAGAAGGCCGTCCGCTGAGAAACGATGACGAGCTGGGGACGGCACGGTCAAGAAGCGCGCTTGGAGAACCCGCGATGCGGGAAGCCATTGCTGAAGGGGCTGCGCTGGTCATGGCTGCTCTTGATCTTTACAAATAAGAGGGGAAAAATTAAGGCTTAATAAAAAAATGTTATTGTCGATGTCAGATGCTTAGTCTTGTTAGATGTCAGAGTCGGGTCGGTCCGAGACTCGTGCGGACGCTCTGCTGACCGTCAATTGCGGCGATGAACCCGCCAGAGGTACCAATTTTAAGAATCAATTGATAAAAGGGAGAACGTGGGTCTTGCTAGCTGAACGTTGAAGACTTCAGGGTCCGACGGCAGCCATGGTCGACGTCTCGAGCGTCGAACTGGACATGCTGACCGCCTCAACTGGGACACACACCAACAATTGCCCGACTATGATGGAGAACAGGGTCTTCTATAGGCAGTAACGCATACGGGCGAGTAGCATCCATGGCGGTCCAACATTTCAGGTCGGAGAAACAGGCGAGGAGCAGAAACGGTTTCAGGGGGTCAGAAACGCGGGAAACAGAGCTTTGAGGAATGGTCTGGAAGTAGGACCAGACAGGCAGGCGGGGCAGAATGATTGGAGTGAACTGCTGCTGGGGATGGTGCGGGAGATTATGTGACAGGAAGAATGGCAAATGGTCATGGGCTGGTTCGCAGCAGCGATAGTGTGATTGTTCTGCGCCTGTCCACGCAACCGTCCCATTCGTCCGCAGCAGGTGCAGCAGCAACCAGACGCGCATACATTCGTTACGGGCATCTCGGAAATTTTCCGGAAAAATGGCATGGGGAAGTTGTCACACAGGGCGCGCGGCGGGGTGTGTTCTGCAGGGCGGCAGAGGGTAACGGGAAATAAATTGGTCACTCACTCTGGAGTTTGTTTGGCCCGATCTCCGGGGGCGTGGTTCACATGGGTCAGAGGAATTTGGAGATTTTTCAGATGCGGTGCGCTGAACTGACTTTGTTTCCTGGTTTTCCGTGGACCACTGTCGAAGTTCACCGCACTGAGCATCAGACTGGGTTTGAACAAATTGACGTCGGTCAGAAGCGTTTACGGGAAACTGAACAGCGATAAAGCTTGAAAGGGGCAATAGTAAGCAGGTTCGACCGTTTCTGAGAAGGAAATATTTTGCGTTTGCCCGCCAGCGATTCGTTTGCAGAGCTCCGAACGTGTCAGCGGGCAGAGCGACACGCTGGGTCCCAGGCCCCACTTCATGCGAGGTTCTAGGCACGGTGCCCGTGACCCAAGGAAGGGAGGACCACCACAGAATCTTTCGAACCGCTGAAACATGCCCGGGATGCAGGAACAATGGGGGTTATCCTCCGCCGCTCATGATTGGTTGCTGAGAAATTCTTGTGGTTACGGCGAAGGAGATCGACGGTTGCCGAAGGCTTGCGGCGTTTGCGGGGAATTCTTCGTGGATATCCGCATACGTGGCTCACGGTTCTGACGTGTTTGGATTACACCACCAAATGCTCGGCCAACCTCGAACTTGCTTCTGTGCTGTCACACACGCACTGCTTCCATGCCTCGCAACGCCGTTGACCCATTGACCTAGTCAAGAAACCAACATGCCTCCATTGCCTCACCAACTCAAATCCAAAACTCGAGGGTTTCAAGGACTGGATTTTCTACGCTGGCAAAACGGGGTTTCAGGAGTGGGTGAAATTTTACACGTCAGACCGAGAGTGAATATTCTTAGTCTTCGATAAGATGCCATTCCTCGTCAAAGACATCCTCAAAGTGAGAACGAAACAAATGCACATGAAATTTCTGTGTGATTTGTGTTTACGTTCATTTCTAATCCACTTTAGATGGCCTTCACCTCTTTATCTTACCTTTGACATGTAGTATCTACACTGTGTGTTATCTTGTTATCGAATCATATATGAGTTAAAACAATTTGATCCATGGCCCGACGTATGAGTGCGGGCCTCTGGCCTCAATTGTTTGCTTGTGCCATATGAGCATTTGACAGATGAACCATATGAGCATCTGAAGATGTCAGAATCAAACGCGTTCAAACTTACCATGTGGAGGATCGGCCCTTGAAACAATCGCCTTCTTTCTGAAGCATCAGCCAAATCTGTAGGAGTGGACTCGCAGATTCTGATAGCTTAGATTCGCGTCATCCCAATCTTAGCGTCGATTCTCTGCTGGTGTTTCTCGGACTTTTAACGCCGCCTTTAATCTCTCCAAGCAGCATGATTCGAAACGTCTATCGCGGATTCGGCATCCCGCCTGGGCCGCCGCAAATCCCGGAAATGTTCCACGGTCCCACGTGCAGCCACGGGAAGGTTAGAGAGGCCGAGAAGGTGGTTTCCGGCAGTTAGCGCACGGGCATCGTGTGCGGCCCGCGCCTTCCCCTTCGGTCACTCCCCGTCCCCTTCCCACGTCCTCCTCTCCGCTTTCCCCGTCCGCCAGTGCGCCAGTGGGGCCTGCCCACGGACCTGGCAGCGGTGGCGCCATTGGCGCAGGCGGCTTTTGAGTCGACTCAAAAGTCACCTGGCAGCCGTGGCGCTACTGGCGCAGGTGGCGGACGAGTACGTGCGGGGCGATAAGAGCACATCCGATAAGAGCCGCGCCAACCTGCTCGCCGGGGCAGGGGCTGGGGCGGGGGCGCGCGGAGGGGGAGGGGGAGGGGGAGGCGGAGGCGGATGCGAAGGGGTCAGCGGCGGGGGCGGGGGCGGAGGCGGGAACAGCGGGGGGAGGGGCGGGGGAGGAAGCGGGGTTGAGGCGGGGCGGGGTGGAGGGTTTGGGGGCTCATGATCAAATAGAGGAGGAGATGATAGCGGTGCCGGGTGCATGCATGCTGTCTTACTTTGCCTTCCACTGGCCGCACTCCGCGCTCGTGATCGAACAGGTGGGTGGATGGCTAGGGGAGGCAAGGGGAGGGGAGGAGGGGCTAAGCGGAGGGGAGGAATGAGACTCAACAGCCACTGGCCGCAATCCCCCCTCATGATTGACAAGTGGGTGAGAGGGCACGGGGCGGGGCGGGAACAAGTGGAGAAGGCAAGGGGCAAGGGGAGGGGAGGAATGGGACTCGACTCAACAGCCACTGGCCGCACTCAGCGCTCATGATCGAACAGGTGGGGGGGGGAGGGGGAGGGGCGGGAATGGGGGGCAAGTGGAGGGGGGAAGGGGCAAGGGGTGGGGAAGAGAAGCGCAAAGGGGAGGGAGGATTGATAATCAACTGAATGGCCATTCTCCTATTTTTGCCTTCATGATCGAACCAATTGGGGGCCCAAGGAAAGGCAAGGCAAGGGGGGGAATGGGACTTCTGAGTCAACTCAAAAGCCACGGCAGCACATGAGCGTGTGGGCACATGAGCGTGTGAGCACATGAGCGTGTGAGCACATGAGCGTGTGAGCACATGAGCGTGTGATTACATGAGCGTGTGATTACATGAGCGTGTGATTACATGAGCGTGTGATTACATGAGCGTGTGATTACATGAGCGTGTAATTACATGAGCGTGTGATTACATGAGCGTGTGATTACATGGGCATGTGATGTGAGCACATGAGGCCCAAGAGCATGTGCGTGGCCTGCCTGAGTGCATCGCCATCATCCTTATGCGCCCATCCTTATGCGCCCATCCTTATGCGCCCATCCCTGTGTGTGCGCGCATCCCTGTGTGTGCGCCCATCCATCCCTACAGGTATTCCCGGGTCCGAGCAGCAAGCCACACGTGAGGGACGCCGTCAACGGTGGGCATGGGCGCTGGCAGGTCAACGGTGGTCAAGGAGATGATGAGACGGTAAGCTGAGGGATAAAGTGATTGTGTGGAAGTTCATGGGCTGAGTCGGTGCGATTGACCGTGGTGCTGCTGATAAGCAGGGGCATGGGTGCTGGCAAGTCAACAGTGGTCAAGCAGATCATGAAACGGTGAGAGGGAGTGCTGCGAGGGACAAAGCAATGGAGTGGGGTGTTGAGGGATGGAGTGGGGTGTAGAGGGATACAGTGCTTGCACTAGCAAGTCAACGGTGGTCAAGCAGATTACAAAACGGTGAGGGGGAGGAGGAGTGCTGCGAGAGGCAGAGAGATGGAGTGTGAACGCTCTCGTGTGCTTTGCATCGCTGCAGCTGATGGGAGCTTCACGACAAGCAGGCTCGTTGGGGGACCTGCTTTTCAGAGAGACGGTCACGAAAACGGGTTTCCCGGACCAGACGCTTACGGCGATTGCCTTTCAACAGATCTGGTTGGAAAGACGCGGGGCAGTTTTTCGGCAAGAACGTTTTCAACACAAGAGGGTGGATCAGGAGGATTCTGGTAAATTTCAATCGACACGTCAGGGTGTACAGTACGAGGGCGCGCATGCAAGGGAGCAAGGGGAAGAAGCGGAAAACTGGCAACAGCAGTTGGGGGCACCTGGAGGCTGATGAGAAGCGGGCTATCTGCAACCTGTATGACAGCGAAGCCAAGCTGACGTGGAGCGCCAAGTTCCGTTCGATATCTGAGGATCCGCGTACGCTTTTTAGACCACCTTAAGTTTTGGATGGGGGGCCCCCTCACTATACACTAGTGAGCCATGCTCTCCACGGAATCAGTTACGACTGTGGATGTATACTTGTTATAGTGTACTTCCAAACCAAAAAAAAAAAAAAAAAAAAAAATCTCGTGTGCTTCCGTCTCATTTCTTCCCCTTCATTTTGTTTCCTGTCTCCTCCTCCTCCACCCAGTGCACTCCAAAGCTTCCCTTCTCCTTCAACCTCAGCCCTTCCTCTCCTTTCCTTTCATTTCCTTCCCACTCCCTCCTCCTCCTTCTCCTCCCTTGCTTTCCCCCCCTCCCCCTCCCCCCCGCATCGCCTTGTGGGTGCACATGGCGCCTCATGCAGCGGTGGTGGAGGCAGACGCCTTCAAGGAAAAGGAATCTATCTTCCGAGTGCTCTCCTGTGCTTTCTCTCGCCTCTTTTCCGCTCTCTTCCCTTCCTCAGCACCTTCGCGCCACACGCAGTGATGGTCGAAGCCAATCCGATGCCTTCAAGGAAAAGGACGTAATCTTCCGAGCACACTCTGCCGCCCGGCTGAGCGACGCCGCTCGGATCTCCCAGCTCGTTTACGAGGAGTCAACCCGGGCGGCACAGTCAATGCTGGTAATTGCGCTGAGCGAGGGGCGCGATGTAATACTCCATGGAGTATCATGGAGTATCATGGAGTATCATGGAGTATCATGGAGTATCATGGAGTATCATGGAGTATCATGGAGTATCATGGACCACGTCTTGGAGCCCGTTTGTGCAGCGGTTTTTGAGTCGACTCAAAAAGCGTCTCATCACACACGGATTGTGATATTCGACGGGACCATGTCGTGGGTCCCGTTTGTGCAGCACACGAAGAGTCCACCCTTTTGTCCCGATTGCGATGGGTCGGCGGGTGCATGAGATGAGAGGAGGTTCTGCATGGGTATCACGTGAAAGTGGATGGGCGTGTCGTGGATCAGTATTGGGAGGAGGTGGATTAGGAAGGGAGGGAGGGTGGGGTGGAGAAGGGGAGGAGGAGGGGAGGAGGAGGGGAGGGAGATAGAGATTGGAGAGGAGGTGAGGAGCAAGAAAGGGCAGCGGGAGGAGAGGAAGAGGGATTAGCCAGGGAAGGAGGGTCAGCACCGACCCAAGAGGCACAGGAATCTGAGGAGGGCTCTGGGTTGGGGCAGGGAAAGCTGCTGTAGTGGCGACAACTTTTGAGTCGACTCAAAAAGAGGCACAGCAGTCCCCGGAGGGCTCTGGGATCAATTAGGGGAAGCTGTTGCAGCGGTGAGAAGGGGCAGGGGCAGGGGAAGGGAGGCATGGAGGGGACACAGCTGTCTGAGGAGGGAACTGGAATTAATTAGGGAAGCTGCGGCAGCGGCGACGAACGAAGTAACCAAAGTGCCTTTCTCGAACCAACCTTCGACAAGGGGCAGGGGCAGGGACAGAGGCAGGGAAAGGGAAGGGGGAGGGGGATCGCAGGAACGCGGCAGGGAGGGGGGAGAGGAGGGGGGGTGTGCAGCGGCTGCCGCACCGCATTGTGCTGGTGGGTGTGATGTGCGATACCCGCCTGGCTGTTGTGCGCGGCATGCAGTGTGGCATGGGAGAAGGCATGGGCTCAGGGATGGGAATGGGACATGCTGTGCTGGTGGGTGTGATGTGCGGTGCCCACCGGGCTGTGGTTCACGGCATGCGGTAAAGCATGGGAGAAGGCATGGGGTAGGGCATGGGGTAAGAATTGAATAGGAACACATTTACCAGTCTTTCTAGTTCCCCCTGTCCTCTTCGTCCTGACCCTTCCTCTCATCCCATGCGAGCCATTCTGACCAAGAGGGGAGTGCCAGTGCATGAGCAGCTGCGGTCGCACAAGCTACGAGTCAATCCCGGTCGATCCCAGTCAATGCCAGTCACACCCGAGTCAATGCCAGTCAATGCCAGCCAATGGCAGTCAATGCCAGTCAATGCCAGTCAATGCCAGTCACTGCCAGTCAATGCCAGTCAATGCCAGTCAATGCCAGTCAATGCCAGTCAATGCCAGTCAATGCCAGTCAATTCCAGTCAATTCCAGTCAATGCCAGTCAACACCAGTCAGTGCAAGTCAATCCCAGTCAATCCCAGTCAATCCCAGTCAATCCCAGGCAATGACAGTCAATGCCAGTCAATGCCAGTCAATGCGAGCCAATGCCAGTCAATGCCGGTCAATGCCGGTCAATGCCAGTCAATGTTAGTCAATGCGAGCCAATGCCAGTCAATGCCAGTCAATGGCAGTTAATGCCAGTCAATGCCAGTCAATGGCAGGTAAAGCCAGTCAATGCCAGTCAATGCCAGTCAGTGCAGGTGAATGCCAGTCAGTGCAGGTGAATGCCAGTCAGTGCAGGTGAATGCCAGTCAATGCAGGTGAATGCCAGTCAATGCAGGTGAATGCCAGTCAGTGCAGGTGAATGCCAGTCAGTGGAGGTGAATGCCAGTCAGTGCAGGTGAATGCCAGTCAATGCAGGTGAATGCCAGTCAATGCAGGTGAATGCCAGTCAGTGCAGGTGAATGCCAGTCAGTGCAGGTGAATGCCAGTCAGTGCAGCAGGTGAATGTCAGTCAATGCTGGTGAATGCCAGTCAATGCAGGTGAATGCCAGTCAATGCAGGTGAATGCCAGTCAGTGCAGGTGAATGCCAGTCAGTGCAGGTGAATGCCAGTCAGTGCAGGTGAATGCGAGTCAATGCAGGTGAATGCCAGTCAATGCAGGTGAATGCCAGTCAGTGCAGGTGAATGCCAGTCAGTGGAGGTGAATGCCAGTCAGTGCAGGTGAATGCCAGTCAGTGCAGGTGAATGCCAGTCAGTGCAGGTGAATGCCAGTCAGTGTAGGTGAATGCCAGTCAGTGCAGGTGAATGCCAGTCAGTGCAGGTGAATGCCAGTCAGTGCAGGTGAATGCCAGTCAGTGTAGGTGAATGCCAGTCAGTGCAGGTGAATGCCAGTCAGTGCAGGTGAATGCCAGTCAGTGCAGGTGAATGCCAGTCAGTGCAGGTGAATGCCAGTCAGTGCAGGTGAATGCCAGTCAGTGCAAGTAAATGCCTCCATTATTTACCGGCTTGCAGATTAGCTTTCACTTGAACCTTTGTGCACTCCTCTCGCTCTCTTTCCATACCAACCCCATCCCCACCACCATCACCACCCCAACCGGCACAGCCACACCACCTACCCGCACACCTCGTAGATTCCCTTGCAGACACTTGCTGGTAGATTCAGCAGCCTTCCACCTCGCCTCCCTCTCTCCCTCCCTCCCTTTCACCCTCTCTCCCTCCCTCCCTTTCACCCTCTCTCCCTCCCTCCCTTTCTCCCTCTCTCCCTCCCTCCCTTTCTCCCTCTCTCCCTCCCTCCCTCCCTCCCCCCCTCCCTTCCCCCCTCTCTCCCCCCCTCCATACACCATCCACGCTAGCTCATCGAGAACAAGGAGGGCACATCACCCTCCAGGAGCGCACCAACCACCCCACCCACGACCTTAACCGGCAGATGCTGGACCAAACACACAACCAAGCACACCTGCTGCTGGTGGAGGCTGCTCTTTTCTGGTGGACTCAGCAGCCTTCCACCTCGTCACCGACTTGAAACGTGTCAACCCTCCGCGTCCCCCGAGCCGTATTATAAGGAGGTTGAAATCGCTGGTGGCTGACTGGATGGTGGTTGTCCCTGTGGGGCTGGGGAAAAAGGACAGCGCGAGCAGGAATTTTTTGGGCCGGGCAGAACGTGGAGGGAGGTGGTGCTGGGTCAGGAGCGGGGGGCGCGGCAGGCTCGACTGAGGGAGGCGTTTACTGAGCTGCAGGCGTGCCTGTGGCCGGCAGCTCACGGCAACTGAGGCATCACTTCGTCTACCAGCTTCACCTCTTTGCACTCCTTGCAACCCGTGCCTTCCTCCCTCGCTTCCTCCCCATGCCACCCTCGTCCTCCTCATCCGCCTTCCGCTTCCTCCTCCTCCATCTCGGCAGAGCAAAACGACTCGGCATAGCGCAACGACTCGGCATAGCGCAACGACTCGGCATAGCGCAACGACTCGGCATAGCGCAACGACTCGGCATAGCACAACGGCTCGGCATAGCACAACGACTCGGCATAGCGCAACAACTCTCTCGGCATAGCACAACGACTCTCTCGGCATAGCGAAACGACGTAGCAGGGAACACAACGGCTAACGATCGGCTCGAAGCCACCACTCCCACTCGCACTCTCACTTGCACCAACGTCGCACGCCCACTCCCGTGCAGAATATCGGCTCGATACACACAAAGCGAGTCATTATTGTAGGGGATGGATTTAATGATGCAAGGCAGGAATTGTCAAATGTTATTATAGGTTCTTAGGCTACAGTGAGTAGCACTCTAGGGAGTACAACACTTTTAGGGTTGCTATTTGTATCCCTTGTTTCCCTAGTTTACACATTCCGTTGTTCGCTAACTTTGAGATGGTATCATGAGTAGGTGTCGATCCTCTCGCCTAGCCTAGCCTAGCTAGCGGCCTAGTGCCCTCCGCACCCTTGCGCCCTCCGCGCCCTCCGCGCCCTCCGCGCCCTCCCGGCCATCTCCGCGCCTTAGCGCCCTCCTCCTCCGCGCGTTAGAGCCCTCAGCGTCCCTAGCCTGCGCCCCTAGCCCGTCGCCCAGGCGCCCGCCCTAGCCCGACGCCCAGGCGCCCGCCCTAGCCCGACGCCCAGGCGCCCGCCCTAGCCCGTCGCCCAGGCGCCCGCCCTAGCCCGTCGCCCAGGCGCCCGCCCTAGCCCGTCGCCCAGGCGCCCGCCCTAACCCGTCGCCCAGGCGCCCGCACCAGCCCGTCGCCCAGGCGCCCGCCCCAGCCCGTCGCCCAGGCGCCCGCCCCAGCCCGTCGCCCAGACGCCCGCCCTAGCCCGTCGCCCAGGCGCCCGCCCTAGCCCGTCGCCCAGGCCCGCGCCCTAGCCCGTCGCCCAGGCGCCCGCCCTAGCCCGTCGCCCAGGCGCCCGCCCTAGCCCGTCGCCCAGGCCCGCGCCCTAGCCCGTCGCCCAGGCGCCCGCCCTAGCCCGTCGCCCAGGCGCCCGCTTTAGCCCGTCGCCCCAGCCCGCGCCCTGGCCCGTCGCCCCAGCCCCGCAGGCAGCGCGCCCCGCAGGCAGCACACCCTGCAGGCAGCGCGCCCCGGAGCGCTTTAGCGCCAGAAAAAAAAAAAAAAAAAAAAAACCCTAAAAAAAAAAAAAAAAAAAAAAAAGAGGGTTTCGGGTGGGGGCCTGCAACTGTCGGCCGCGTTCCTGCTTGCCGGACGACCTGCACAGTTGCCTGCATCCCGCAGCCGTCAGTACTGCAGCCCCTACTGTCGCACGTACGTTCCACTGCCAGTGGCTCTACTAGCGGCAGCCGACAGCCGCACCTACGGTCTCTAGCTCCGGCCGTTCCTACCTCCAGCCAGCCCTAGCTCGCCGTTTCTAGCTCCAGCCAGTTGTGCTCCAGCTGTTCTCGCTCCAGCCGTTCTCGCTCCTCGCTCGTAGCTCAGTTTGCTCCGTACTCCAGCCGTTCCTCGCCTAGTTTCACCTGTCGCTCCTAGCCTGCCGCTCCTGCACCCCGCTAGCTTTTATCATGGAGTCCACTAGGGTTCTCCAGCAGCAGGGACAGCAGCAGCGGCCGTTTCAGCAGTGGCTTCCGCAGCAGCAGGGGCGCCCTCAGCAGCTGTGGCGCCCTCAGCAGCCGTGGGGGCCTGGTGGTTCAGGTCGCGTTGGCTGCAGCAGCGGCCCAACCAGCTGGGGGGCTCGTCGCGGTGGCCGCGACGTCGGCCCCTGCCAGTACCGGATCCTGACCGGCCCTGGCGCTGGCACTACCTGCTGGCGTCCTGACCACTCTGCACAGCGCTGCTACAGCCGCCTCGACGACCTTTACCGTGAGCGTTTTGGGCCTGAGTCGGCTCCCCCGATCTGGCCCGGTCTGTTTCGTAGTGGTTACCCTGTGTTTGATATGTCTATGGATGCTGTTTATTCTGTCACGTACGGATCTCTTGGGTTACGTGTACCTAGCTTAGGACCTTTGCCTGTTGCTAGTGTCGGTACTTGTGCTTTTAGTGTAGGTGCTTGTGTAGTCACTAGCCCGGCCGTGACGACTGCTGTTGCGTCGCTCTCCTTCACGCTGGACTCCGGCGCGTCTCAGTGCTTCTTCCGCGACCACACCACTGACACACCTCTTTCGGCTCCAGTCCCAGTTGCCCTGGCTGATCCTACTTCAGGACCAGCAGTTGCTCGCAGCTCGACCACCCTCCCATGCCCAGCTGTCCCCTCTGGTTTCCTCACTGGTCTCTACATCCCCTCGTTCTCTCGGAACTTGGTGGGTGTTGGATACCTTCAGGACCGGGGGATCACAGTCACTTTTCCTGCGCACGGGAGGACTGCGATCTGTACGGACTCTTCCACCGGGGCAGTTCTTGCCACGTTCACCAGAGAGCCCCACTCAGGTCTCTTCGTCCTGCACACTCCGCCCCCGCAGGTAGCTGCGTCTGGTCAGGTTGCTTCGTCCCCCCCGGTAGCAGAGTCCGGTCAGGTTACTGCGTCCCCACCGGTTGCTGTGTCCGGTCAGGTTGCTGTGTCCGGTCAGGTTGCTGTGTCCGGTCTAGTTGCTGCGTCTTGCTCGTGTCGGTCTTTCACCCACCGGACCGTCTTGTGGCACCACCGTCTTGGCCACGCGTCGATCCCCCGCCTCCGCACTATGGCTGGTCACCGTCTTGTCTCAGGTCTCCCTCGCGTCTTCCCGTCGCTCCCTCCCTCGCGTCTTCCCGTCGCTCCCTCCCTTGCCTGCGCCGCCGTGCACTCCTTGCGTCGCCGGCCGTCTTCGTGCCACTCCGCACTCCTCCTCCCTTCGTCCGGCCACTGCTCCCTTCCAGACACTCCACTTGGATGTCTGGGGCCCTGCACCTACGCAGGGACCTGAGAGGGAGCGCTACTTTTTGGTGGTCGTCGACGACTTCTCCAGGTACACCACGGTGTTTCCTCTCGCGAAGAAGTTCGAGGTGACTTCTACGCTGATCCGGCGGCTTCTAGCCACTGAGGGCACTCGTGGCCGTCGTGTCTCCTGTCTCCACTCTGACCGTGGGGGTGAGTTTCGCTCAGGCATTCTTGCCGGATTCTGCGGCGAGCAGGGCATTGTACAGTCCTGGACGCTGCCGGAGTCCCCACAGCAGAATGGGGTTGCTGAGCGCCGCATTGGCTTGGTCATGGACATCGCCCGCACGTCCATGATTCATGCCCGTGCGCCCCATTTTCTGTGGCCCTACGCGGTTCGCTACGCCGCTCACCAGCTGAACCTCCAGCCGCGCGTCTCGCGGCCAGAGGCTTCACCGACCAGTCTTTGGACCGGGTCCCCTGGTGTTGGGTCAGCTTTTCGTGTCTGGGGCTGCCTTGCGCTTGTCCGCGACACCTCTGCGGACAAGCTCTCGGCTCGCGCCGTCCCCTGTGTCTTCCTTGGTTTCCCGGTAGCCTCGGCCGACTGGTCTTTTTACCACCCGCCCCTCCACCAGTTCCTAGACTCCCGTGACGTCCGGTTCGACGAGTCAGTGTCCTACTACACCCGGTACCCCCACCCCCCCCTAGTCCTGCCCCGTCAGGTGTGTCTCACGCTACCCCTCTACCCTCGGTCGCGCGTCAGGTAGCGGCTCCCTCCCCGCAGTCCTCCTCACACTCCCCTCAGCAGCCTTCGGTACTTCCGCGACAGGCTACTGTGGACTCGATTGGTTTTGGAGCTGGAGGTGCAGCCACTGGCGGTACTCGGTCCGGGGGTGCTGCTAGTTCTGGGGGTGCTGGAGTTGGAGGTCCTGGCACTGGCGGTACTAGTTCTGGGGGTGATGGAGCTGGAGGTGCTGGCACAGGAGGTGCTGGTTCTGGGGGTGCTGGTCCTGGGGGTGCTGGTTCTGGGGGTGCTGGTGCTGGAGGCGCTGGCACTGGAGGTGCTGGTTCTGAGGAGACTGGAGCTGGAGGCACTGGTTCTGCGGAGTCCACTCCGCCTCCCCACCGCCACGACACACGTCTCCAGGCGGCCCGTCGGCGTGAGCGTGAGGAGCAGGTGCTGTTGGAGAGGGAGCGGCAGGAGTTGCGGCAGTTGGACCTGATGGAGCAGCAGCAGCAACAGCAGCAGCAGCAGCAGCAGCAACAGCAGCAGCAGCAGCAGCAGCAGCAGCAGCAGCAGCAGCAGCAGCAGCAGCAGCAGCAGCAGCCACAGCAGTAGCAGCAGCAGCCGCAGCAGCAGCAGCAGCAGCCGCAGCAGCAGCAGACACCGCCGCCGCAGCTGCGACCACAGCAGCTCCCTCTGGAGCGGCAGTTGTTCCCACCCGTGAGTGGCCTTCGGGCCCTTGGTCTTCCCTCCTCTCCTCCTGTTCACACTCCGTCCCCTCCAGCGTTTGGTCCCACGTTTCCTCCTCCTGACGACAGTCCGGCGGTCTGGTCTTCTCCTCCACCGCAGTCTCCTCCACCTGTTGTCCCACACTCTCGTGTCCGTCCCTGTCCTCCGCGTGCTCGTCACTCGTCTCCCGTTACCGACCTCCGCACTGCCCTCCTTGGTTCGTCTCTTCGTCGTCCTCCTCCTGAGTCCGTTCTCCCGTCTCCGCCTCCGTCCTCTCTC